TATATGGGAACAGAGATGACTGTGTCAAGCCCGCTGCATGATTAGCAGTCGTAGGTGTTGGAGTTTAGTTGGTGTCAGATTTGTTTTTCTTTTGATTGATGTAATGATCCTGAAACTTATTATATGAATAGAGGCAAGTTTCCGTTAAAAGAACTGAAATTTAAATTTAATTTAAAGTTGCTGAACATAAGAGGAACAAAAAAGCAAAGAGAAAAAAGAAGTAGTAGTGTAGCGAGCAGAAACAATGGTTTTGATGGCTCGTTTAGGTGTTTGAGATGAGGATTTCAAGCTCCCTCTTCAGATTAAAGTTGAGGAAATTCGCAGGCAAAATTACTATAGCAGTTCGTCGACGCTGGGAAAGGTCGGCAGAAACAAAATGGACAGGAGACGTGAAGGAGAAGTAACAAGCATCTAAATGCAAAAATACCTGGTTTACGGTGAGAACTGAGAACCAGGTGTACGGTATATTTTGCCCGATTTCTTCAACGTGCTTAAACCATCGTGTAATTCAGGCTAAATTAGAAACCAAAAGGTCCAGAGTAGAATCCCTCCTCAAATGTTGTTTGAGACTTGTCAGCATTCATCGACGACTTTTGCAGTCGAGTTTAGTTGTCCCCTGTAGGACTGTTCATCTTCATTACGGACACGTTTATTTCACGGGTTACTAAACGGTGCTTATTAAGACCCGCATTAATAAGTGGCGCATAAAATAAGCAATGTTGTAAGATCATGTTTACTTCAAATGGTTTAAAACACCGCTTAACATTAAAATGTCCAAAATAACCCTACACATATATAGACACACAAACATTCATGAACACAAGTATATAATATAATACGTGGGGTCACCTCGTACGTGTACCCATACCCCTAACCCCTACCCGCCCTACACCCCGTACCCCCACCCCTACACCCTACCCCCAATTCCACACCCTTGACCCCTACCCCTACCCCTACCCCTACCCTTACCATGACCTTACCCTCTACCCCTACTTCCCTACAACCCTTCATACCCACCCATACCCTTAACAACTACCCTACTCGTAGGGGTGAGATTGGGGTTGAGGTCGGGGGAGGGTTGAGGTAGGGTAAGAGGGTACAGGTGGGTTGGTTGGGTTTATGGTCGAGGTTAGGGTGGTTAAGTCCTAGGGGTAAGGGTGGATGTGATGGGGTAGGGTGGGGTCGAGGTAGGGGTAAAGGGGTAGGGAAGGTACGGGGTGGGGTGGGGTAGGGGTATGGTGGTAAAAGCTAAGGGTAAGGGGTGGGGGTGGGGTAGGATGGCGGTAAGGTGGGGTTAAGATCGGGGTGGGTCCGAGGTAGGGGCAAGTGGTAGGGGGTGGGGTCATGGTTAGGGGTAAGGGTGGGGTCGGGGTAAGGTAGGGTAGGGGTAGGGTTGATAACGGGTGGGGTAGGGTCGTTATAGGGAAAAGGGGTACGCGGGGGTGGAGTGGGGTAACGGTAAAGGGTAATGTACAAGGATAGAGGTAGTGGCTAGGGGTGGATCGGGTGGGTCGGGGTTGGGTCGGGGTAGTAGGGTAGCGGGTAGGGCGGTAACAATAGGGTAAGGGCAAAGGGGTAAGGGTAAATTCAGAAACTCAAAAAGTTTAAAGTGCCGCTTAATTAATACATGGCGGGGTAGTATGCTTAGTAAGCGACACTTTAAGCACTTCTTTCGGTTAGTAAGCAGCTTTTTAAGCAACATACATGTTTACTTCATTTGTCTTATTAACCTTAATGTGACTTTAGCAGCAAAGTAAACCCCTCTTACGTGTTCGTTGGTGTGTTTGTTCTCTATTCGCTGGAAGTTAAATAAAAAATGAAAAACGCATTGTTTTGCAATGATTTTTTAACTGACTCCTTGATTGAATTTTAAGTTGAAATTTGGTGGACATAAATTAGACTTGATGAAGAACATGCTCAAAAAATTTCGTCCAAATTCTATCGGGAAGGACCTCTGATTGGCAAGTTTGGATGGGGCTTCCTGTCATAACTACCTGAGGTGGTCTTTTTCGATATATAGAGAAAATATCATGTGCGAAGTGTGTCTTAGGCTGGAAACTGTGAAATTTTAAGTCAGAGCACCAATAATCTAACTTATAAAAAACACATTATAACTTATACTTCAACAACCCTAAATAAAAAATACAACTTCATAGTGAGTAATAAACTGTAAAAGTATGATATAAGTATGAAACTATGATGAAAACAACTAGTACCACTTGATACATTACGATTTTTATATTTATTGACCCATAAATGCATTCAAGACACTTCTTTTCTGATTAACGATTTTTCTTTAAATTCAACTTATAAGGCCAAATATATACGGAGCAACTATTATCAAAAGTTTAGCTAATGTGATCAATTGAATGTTCGAGACAAGTTTCAAACTAACATGAAAACAACGAATAACACTGGATATATCCTATGATTTTTATTCTTAATTAGTCAGAAATGCATTCAAGACATTTTTTTTCAATTAACTATTAATTCATTAAATGTAACTTATAAAGTCAAATATATAAACTTCGCAACACTTAAATTACTACAGAGTTTTCAGCCGAGAACACACTTCTCACCCGATTCACTCCCTTTATAAATATATGTAATTTATTTGAGTAGGAGGAGGAGGAGGGAGGGGAGGGTTAGGAGTTGTGGTCAACTGGTTGCCGGGTCAAATATCCGCTTACTCTATTCATGTATATATTAAAAGTATCTATAATTTCATAATTAAGACCAACTTTTTTTATATTAAGTTCTGAATAAATATTGGAATTTCAATATCGGATACATATCAAATACGTGAATACATAATTAATGAATTAATATATTTTATCACAATAGTAATAACTAATAACCTGTGCCATAAAATCCGGACCGGCAAGCGACCCGAATGAATGATCGGGTCACGGGTCAACCTGAAACCGGCAGGTCAACCCGGTCAACGCCATAAAACCCGGTCAACTTTTATATAAAATATGTGATTTCATATTTGTTTTAGTTATAAAATATCTGAATATTTCAGTTTAGTATTGAAAGAGTTCTTGAATCTTGAGCATATTGGATATTTAATATCCGAATACATTCACACATTTATCATATTCTAAAGTATAGTTTTAGGCCTATTTGAATCAATAGTATTATTTGATGTTTATTTTGTACATCTATAAAATAATTAAATTTGATTTTATTTATATAGTAAAAACTTAAATACGGAGTATATAACATACTTTATTTAAAAATGAATTTGAAAAACTACACTTTTAAAAAAATGTTAAAAGTATTTAATAAGAATTTTATCTTATATTTGAATGTTATATACATAAAGGATAGTATAATAATAGAAACAATATGTTTTATTATATTTAATATGTGTACAATAATTCTCACTTATAACATTTTGAACATATGAGAAAGGAATAACTATTGCTAAAGAGCTCTTTGTGACAATACCGAAAAATATGCGAAAGACATGGACGTTAGGGCTGGGTAAAAATACCAAAAAATCGGTATACCGCACTTACCGTACCGAAAAATACCAGAAAATACCGGAATATTGGTATACCGTCATTTGCGGTACGGTATCATACCGTACCGATTTATTTCGGTACAATAGCGGTAAATATTTTCAAATGCCGCGGTATACCGATATAATACCAACCGACTTCCTACCCAAAAATTACTTTAAATTCTAAAATATTGTAAAAATCCATTGCAACTTTGAACTTTGAAGCCTAAACTTAATACTTTGGTTGGTTACAAATATGAAATATCAAAATACAAAAATAAAGACTCAATTTCTCAAACCCACTACAATAACCTTCTAGGCTTCTAATACGTAATATTCAAATAAACTACCATAATGACTAATGAGTATTGTACTAATGTCTACAAACAAGTCCATCTTGTCCCAAGAGGTTGCGAGTCGCGATGGCTGAACCGCTGACGAGTGTGACGAGTATATCTACATAGGGATTCCGCGAGTCAAAACATACAACTTTGTCCGAAAATCTTATTTAAATATTTTTTTGAAATTATAAAATGACTAAATACACAATCATATTAGGAATAAATGATTTTATATCCATATTGTTTGAAAAAAAATATTTATTTTTGTTAAAGATCACTATTGATTTAGTTATATCTATATTATTCAAGTTATTTTAGGAGAATGTATTACATTTTAATACGTGGCATGTTGAACTACTTAAATATACTAAAAATAATTATGGTTCAATATTGAATATGACATCAATAGATTATTAATTGTATTTTGAAACATTTTAACAATGGATTAAATATGTCGCTAGTAACACCGATTTAGTATATTTTATTAGTCTATGGTAATTTACCGATACCGTACCGTTACAGTACCGAAACTTCGGTATACCGAAATGCGGTATACCGAAACTTCGGTAAGGTAACGGTATATAAATTTTGTATACCAAAAGTTTTGGTACGACAAAGGCATGAGAGAAAATATTCGGTATACCGTATACCGTACCGAACCACTCCTAGACATGGTGGCAAGTTGGTGGGGCGTGTGAACTCTCTTGCGGAGCAGCTGAGTTCATTTCCCAGCTAAGGTAGTACGGTAGTATTTTTCAGTAAGCTGATTTCCGGAACTTTCCAGTTTTCCGGTTTCTGGACGGTCCAAGTTGCGACCAAGTTCGCGGGTTCGAGACTTCGAGCGGGCTGCAAGGTTTTTCCGGTTTTGCCTACATTTACGGGTTAATTAGTAATCGGACTGGGAAAAGTGCCGGTTCACCGGTTTCCGGTCCAACCCGTCCGGTTCGGTTTATTAAACATAGCTAATAACCTATACGTAGTAATATATAATTATCATAATCGTTAAATAGGTCTTAAAAGTGAGTGTAGGGAATACATATATAGTGAATTATATTATACTATCAGGGTATATAATTACAGTGAACCAATATATAGTATGATAATATGTTTACTTATGTTTTTACTTTTATAATCTTAACAAATCATATTCAAATTAGAGCATTATTGAAGATGGTGGTATTGATTTTTAACATACAAGATTATTTAGCTTAGTTCTTTTAGTGCTTTGAAGGTAACGTAAAAGCTCTGATTTGGAGATTAAAAATTTTCAGTAGTCTCCGAAATGTATAAAAATACAAAGAAACAATAAATGAACCAACTATCCTAAAGTCGAATGATAAAGAAAACCCCCGACTCAAAACTTTGGAAATTAGAGAACGACCCTTTCATATATACTAGCAGCCAACCCCGAAAGCACACATCCAGCAGCAGCTAGCTACATCCATGTGATGACGATTGACATTTTAGAAACTCATGCGAACTCACTTCCTCTCTCTCTCTCAAAAAGCTTCAACACTTGTGCGTCCGGATAATTCGAATCTAAAACAAATAGAAATAAATAGCAACCTAAGATCTTCTGGCGAAAAAGAAACATTGGATTGATTCAACTCAAAACTAGTTTAGTCAAGAAGCGTTCTAGTGTGTCCACTAAGGGTCTGGTTAGTTGTAGAAGGCTTGATATGTTTTCATTTCAACTGAAATTTCTAGTCTGCTCTAGTTCATTATATTAATCTGGTACTTTTAAGCCCGGTCTCACAAGGTATGATATTATGTAGTCTACTTTGGTCTGATCTGTTTATATCTAGTCAAGTCTGATCTCATATAGTCTACTCTAATCTGTTCTACTTTGAATGAGACTGAATTCATTCCCAAGTGTAAGAATTCTTACTTTATACCTTGATAATTTAAACCCACATACAAAGTAAGCCTTCTAAATCCTCCCCCTTCAATCCTCTACAGAACCCACCATCCAAACAGACCCTAAGAATATTATCATGGTCATTTTGTTTGTTTGAGCACCAAAGGAATTACCTGTGCAAAAGCAAAAATAGCCCGGAGAATTCTAGCATAATCAGTTCCAATCATTTGAATAAAAATGTCTGCTATAAATGTTCCCCACAGCCTACGCAAACACATAGACCCCAGTATATCAGAAAACCATTCAGATCCATAAGCAGCCAAGTAATATCTTATTGTTAATTGTTATTCTCTATCCCAAAATATTGTTGTCTTAAGAACTAATTTTTGCCCCCCCCCCCCCAAAAAAAAAGAATGGTTTTAAAAGATACTAGTAACTTTCAAATTTAAATAAAATTCTTTCAAAGTTGGTCGCCGACTCACTCTCCCATATGGGGGGTCTAGGGTTTGAAACTCCATCAACCCTATTTACCTCAGGCTCCCTCCAGCCCACTCTATGGGACTCCCCCACTCCCTCGGGGTATAGAAAAAGACAAAAAAAAATCTACAGCTAAAAAAATGTATTAATAACTCTTTTTAGGGCAGAGGTTAGGCAGTTTTCAATTTCTATAATTATTAGCTAGACATACTCCAGGATCTATTTGATATCACATTTGCAACTAATTCAAACTCGTGGAAGGTCACCACAATAACCGCAATCGAGAATATGACCATAAAATCTGACGGCCAAAACATAAACTAAATGGCAATAACAGAAAGGAAAAGTTAACACCATAATAAAATTTTCAGAAAAAGAAGAGATCTTACAGTGGGCCAAGAAATGTACCCATGCTCCTCAGGCCCAAATAACTAGCAGCAGCTTCTTTAACACTCTGTCACACCAGTTGTGGAAACTCCTGATGATCATTCTTTTGGCCAAACTTACAATCAATGATGGGGGAGGGTACTCGAACTTAATAACTAGTCTACAGGGTAATTGTGTTGAGCTTCAAGACATGATGCCCTAAACTACGGAGATATGCTCGAAGATATTTACTACCCCCACCATCCTAAAAGGAGTCCTATTTGAGTAAAGTACAACTTCTACATTGAGACAACTCAGAGCTTTTTTGGCGACATTGAAATTGGTTGAAAAGGCTAAATCTGCTGAATTTGAAGAAAGTAAGGTTTAAGTTACTTTTTGGTTGAATTATGGGAAAATATATTTAATATATATTTTATTAATTCAAAAAAGAAGGAATTATATAAAAAATAGTTAAAATGATCCCCTTCAGTTACTTCAGCCAATTCAACCACAAAGTAATTTCAACCTTACTTATTTTTATTATTACACAATTCAGCGCATGAAATCAATAATTATGTGTTTGGCGAAAAACTTGTCTAATAAGGCTGATAAATTGAAAATGGGGGTTAGTGGGTTACCAAACAGGCTTTCAACCATCCAAGCTCTTGAGTCCTTTATAGCCCTAAAACTCATTTCTAAGATCGTTTGGAGTAATTGAGTAAAAATCGATTATGCTTCGGTTTACCTGAATGTTACTTAATATTTGATATTGACTTTTAAACAACTTTTTTGGGACAAAAAAAGTTTTTGAAACCAGCCTAGACTACCTTTTAGGGACGAAGGGAGTATACCTTACAGATGATATATACAATACTTCTACTATATCAAAGCGAACTAGAAACTTCTTTAGAGTACAACACCTCTTTTGCAGCAAAAAAGGCCATTCTTGACTCTAGGTTAAGTGCTGCCAATCGTCCACCCTGAAATTGAAGAGTGTTGTAAATGATATATTTTGTCAAAATAACCATCAAAATGAAACAACTTTGAGGGCCTGTTTAGCAAATACCGAACTCTTCAGTTTCTAGGAGTGAAAACAGGGAAACATGTTACTCAACTTGAAAGCACAAAAGTATTTCTTACAACAACGACACCCAAGCCTTATTCCCAAAGGATTTTGGGTAGGCTAACATGAATCGATTGATGACATCAGAGTCAAAAAGAGAAGAAAAATAAAAAGATAAGTTAAGATAAAATGGACAAGATAAAGAAAAATATAAGATAAAAATAACATAAGAACATAAGAAAAATAAATGATAAAAAGATAAAAGAACATAGGAAAGATAAAAGATAGATATAGGATAAGAACATAGAAAGGTAAAGAAGATAAACAATAAAAGAAAACGAGAGAGAAAAGAGAGAAAAGAGATTTATAGTCCAAATGAATATGCGGCCTGCCCTTTGCTCTCTCCAAAGGGCAAAGTCTGTTTTGCTTTCTCTTCCAACCCAAGAATAAGCATATCAATTATGATTCCTCTAATCCAAGTCTGTTTGAGTCTTCCTCTCTCTATTCTCCTTACACTCAACTCGTCTAAGAGGTGCATCACTCAGTCTTCTACTCACATGACCAAACCAGCGCAATCGAAACTCCTGCATCTTATCTTCTATGGGTGTTACTCTCACCTTTTGTCTTATTATCTTATTCCTTAAGCGGTCTTTTCTAGTATGTCCACACATCCAACGCAATATATGCATCTATATTACACTCATCTTTTGAATGTGACATTCTTTCACCGCCAAACACTCTACGCCATACATTTGTGCAAGCCTAATTGTCGTGCAATAAAATTTACCCTTCAGTCCAGTCGGCATACATCGATCACATAGAAATCTTGATGCACTCTTCCATTTCATCCACCCTCATCCGATTTCATGGGATACATCTTCATCTAATTCACCATCCTTCTAAATTATAGAGTCCAAGTAACGGAATATATCACATACCGGCATCTCCTTGCCATCAAGGGTAATTCCACTGTTATTAATGTTAATAGAGAAGTATGGAAATGTTTTCTGCGTTTCAAATAAACAAAGAATGCTGAATATATACAGGAGTATAATAGCTAATCTAGGAAAGTGTATATTCTATACCTAATGACTAGAGTCCAGTGTTCTAAAAGGCTTAAAAAGGCTCCGCCTAGGCGGGCCTAAGCCCAAGGCGTCACCTAATCGCCCCGCACCACATAAACGCGTGAAGAAAAGCGGCCCACAAAGGTCAGCCCATAAATTTTACTATCAAGCCCCAAGGCAGCTGTCCACAGAAATGAGGACTACCGCCTGTCAAAAGTTAAGAGAAGAGCTCGTATTTATAACTGTGTTGGAATGACAAACTCTACTTCAACCGGTGTGGGAATGAAGTAGTAGTTCGCTACTTCACCGTGCAGCAGAGTTGCAAGTTGGAACAATAGGATTTTGCAATCAAAATTGCTAACCAAACTTGCTCAAATTAGACAAAGTGCTATCTAGTCTTTTCATCATCAACATTATTGTTATTATATTATTACTATTAGAAATGTTTACATGTTAATGACTAAAATAAAAATTGTGTAATAGAATGTGTAGTAACTTTAGTCATTGTAACTTGTTATTCAATGTTTACATTTAAGTGTCGGACATGATAATACAATAACATGTAGTCATATTTTTATAAATAAGTTCTATTTCAGTAATATTTTTGAAAAAACCTCTTATTATCATTATTATTACTATTATTGTTGTTTTTATAATTAATATTACAAATATTTTTGTTATTCAACTAATTTTTCAGCCTGTGTACCTATATGAATATTTCACTATATCTATTTTTTAAAAAAAAAAAATTGTATTTACTTTGTCTAGGGAAATTCAATATATGATATTTTTGTATGGTATTATAACATATCTCATTTATATAATTACTTATACCTCTAGAAAATTAAAATAAAGAGTAAAAATTACAAACGCCTTTTCACGCCTAATTCCCGCCTAAGCCCGCCTAGGCTCCAAAGGCCTAAGGCTTGGACGTGCCACCCCGGCACGCCTTACGCCTTTTAGAACATTGCTAGAATCTACTTTAATGGTGCATATATATTGCTGTAACAGATCTCTAACAGAATCTACTTTGATTGACCATATATACTGCTGGAATATCTTTAACACTCCTCCTCAAGTTGGAGCGAAGATATTAATCATGCCCAACTTGCTACAAATAAAATCTATTTGTGATTTACGGAGTGGCTTCGTAAAAATGTCTGCGAGTTGATGTACAGTCCTAACTTGCACCTGTATGATCGATGGAGGGTTTGATTGTGTGCCAACCACATGATCTCTGATTAAGTGGCAATCAACTTCAATGTGTTTGGTCCTCTCATGAAACACCTGATTCTTGGCTATACGAATAGCTGACTGGTTATGATAGGAACCCTCTTAAATTAGACTAATAATAGAAGTATTAATAAGAATATTAGTAATAAGGGTACTTGAGGTATTGTATAGTATAAATAGTCGGGAAGGGGAAATTAGGGAGGAGGCTGTTTTAGACGTTTCAGACTGGGACTTGGGTGAGCGAGAGCTAATTCTCGTTCTTGGGGGGCTTCGGCTCATTGGGAGGCTTCGGCCTTTGTTACCGATATTGTTTCATCTTCTTCATCAATACAGTTTTCTATTTTGTTTCTTGATCTTTCTGTATATTTTCTGGAGGTTCCTATCATTGGTATCAGAGCCGTTATTTCCTGGTGACCGAGAATCTGAATGATGGAGGAATTTTTGACACCGCAATTGGAAAGGAGTTTTGATAATATGGACCGACAGTTGAAGGAGACAAACGATAGGTTAACCACGATGATGGCAGATATGCAGGCTAGCTTAGCGGATATGATAAACAAACTTCAGAATCGATCGCGAAACAGATCGCATGCGTCACAATCATCACATCGCGACCCTCATCATCGCTCGCGAAAGACAGATCGATCAAGAAGTAGATCGCACACCTCAGCTGCATCACCCCGCTCATCTGCATCGCATCGCCCTTCTCACAACCATCAATCGCGGCACTCAGCAAGTCCAGAGGAATCCGAAGATTTGAGGCATCGCAGAAAATCTTGCGATCGAACTGTTTCCTCGCCAAGCTCTTCACAACGCTCTTCGCAGAGTTCTTCTCATCATTCTTATCATCGCTCTCTGCATCAGATTTCCTCAAAGGATTCTCACAGTTCACATTCTTCATCTAAAGTCACTTCTCGAAATTCGGATAGTTCAAAGAAGGAGAAATTACCTCTATTCTACGAGGAGGAAGCTTATGAATGGATAGAGAAGATGGAAAGATATTTCTGAGTCCAAGTTATAGCAGAAAGATTTAAGGTGGACGTCGCAGCCAAGGCAATGGGGGAAGCTGCAGATGACTGGTTTCAATGGTGGAATTTTCAAAAGAGAGAAGATAGTTGGGAGGCTCTAAAGGAAGATTTAGTTAAGGATTTTCCACCTAAACACCGGCAGAAGACAGGAAGGACAGAAAGGAAAGAATCCTCGAGGGCACGAAGAACTTCTTCCAGTCCGCACTCTAGAACTTCTTCATCCAGTTTGCAGGAATCATCGTTAAGCAGGCAGCGAAAACAGGAGTCATCGAGGTCATCAAGAACTTCTCGTTCACAAGTTTATCAATCAGCGCCAGAAATTTCCAAGTCAACAAAGAAGACCCAGATGGAACCAACTGAACCTGTGATCAAACAAGTGAATAAGAAAGACGAAATCAAGGAGAAACGACAGGATAGTCACGGGCCAGATTATGTTTATTCTAATCTTGCAGAGGGTGTGGATTTAACTTCCAACCAAGTTTCTATTGCTGACAAGCTTATTCAGCCATGTTCCGTTGGAAATAGAGCCCTAATTGTTTCTGAAACTGTTCTTGTCAAAAGTCAACTCTGTTTACAACCTAAGGAAAGGTTATCAGAAAAATTATGTGTTGGTAAAAATAAATCTGGTACAGAGGCTCAGGAGAAGGAGGTTGGGCTTGTTTCAGGTGAAATTGCTATCATCCAGGGAAACCGTACACAGATTAATGCTGCTGATAAGTATAACCATGGCCAACACCTCGAATTTAGAGTACATGAAGGTTATCTATTGTTGGGAGATATTTCTGCAATGACAACTCATAACCTATTACTTCCTGGGGTTTATGAATCCTTCACAAGGTTTTTACAGAGGTTGACCCCAAAGACTTATCAGCAAATTCTAGCTATTAGGACTACAGGGGTGAAATCCTTGCCAATTGATGACATCAAAATTGTTAGAGAAGTTTCTGGTGATCCTAATAACAGGAAAATTATCCAAAGTAAGAAGCAGGAATTATGGAAATGGAGAGGTACTCCAATGGTGAAAGAAACTGAAGAAGTAAATTTTGCTAAGGGCTGCTGGATAGTGTCTGAACCGAGGGAAACATCACTTCGAATCTCTTCTACTGCTGGAAGTTTTGCTAATGGTGTAGGTGATACACCTCAGGAAAACAAGGAAATATGCGTAGCTGTTGAGGGTCTGAAGACTAAGGAAGAAAATGAAAATTCATCAAAGATACTATATGCTGCAGTAAAGTCTGTGCAGTGGAAGAATCAAGTATGGAGGCTCTTTTTTCAGAAATCAGTTAGATATTGGGAAGGTAGAAGCGCTAGGAAGAGGAAGAGGAAGCAGAAGATTGTGGCTGTGTCATATAACCCACCTTGAGGGCAAGGTGGATGTTTAGGGGGGGAGTATTGATAGGAACCCTCTTAAATTAGACTAATAATAGAAGTATTAATAAGAATATTAGTAATAAGGGTACTTGAGGTATTGTATAGTATAAATAGTCGGGAAGGGGAAATTAGGGAGGAGGCTGTTTTAGACGTTTCAGACTGGGACTTGGGTGAGCGAGAGCTAATTCTCGTTCTTGGGGGGCTTCGGCTCATTGGGAGGCTTCGGCCTTTGTTACCGATATTGTTTCATCTTCTTCATCAATACAGTTTTCTATTTTGTTTCTTGATCTTTCTGTATATTTTCTGGAGGTTCCTATCATTGGTATCAGAGCCGTTATTTCCTGGTGACCGAGAATCTGAATGATGGAGGAATTTTTGACACCGCAATTGGAAAGGAGTTTTGATAATATGGACCGACAGTTGAAGGAGACAAACGATAGGTTAACCACGATGATGGCAGATATGCAGGCTAGCTTAGCGGATATGATAAACAAACTTCAGAATCGATCGCGAAACAGATCGCATGCGTCACAATCATCACATCGCGACCCTCATCATCGCTCGCGAAAGACAGATCGATCAAGAAGTAGATCGCACACCTCAGCTGCATCACCTCGCTCATCTGCATCGCATCGCCCTTCTCACAACCATCAATCGCGGCACTCAGCAAGTCCAGAGGAATCCGAAGATTTGAGGCATCGCAGAAAATCTTGCGATCGAACTGTTTCCTCGCCAAGCTCTTCACAGCGCTCTTCGCAGAGTTCTTCTCATCATTCTTATCATCGCTCTCTGCATCAGATTTCCTCAAAGGATTCTCACAGTTCACATTCTTCATCTAAAGTCACTTCTCGAAATTCGGATAGTTCAAAGAAGGAGAAATTACCTCTATTCTACGAGGAGGAAGCTTATGAATGGATAGAGAAGATGGAAAGATATTTCCGAGTCCAAGTTATAGCAGAAAGATTTAAGGTGGACGTCGCAGCCAAGGCAATGGGGGAAGCTGCAGATGACTGGTTTCAATGGTGGAATTTTCAAAAGAGAGAAGATAGTTGGGAGGCTCTAAAGGAAGATTTAGTTAAGGATTTTCCACCTAAACACCGGCAGAAGACAGGAAGGACAGAAAGGAAAGAATCCTCGAGGGCACGAAGAACTTCTTCCAGTCCGCACTCTAGAACTTCTTCATCCAGTTTGCAGGAATCATCGTTAAGCAGGCAGCGAAAACAGGAGTCATCGAGGTCATCAAGAACTTCTCGTTCACAAGTTTATCAATCAGCGCCAGAAATTTCCAAGTCAACAAAGAAGACCCAGATGGAACCAACTGAACCTGTGATCAAACAAGTGAATAAGAAAGACGAAATCAAGGAGAAACGACAGGATAGTCACGGGCCAGATTATGTTTATTCTAATCTTGCAGAGGGTGTGGATTTAACTTCCAACCAAGTTTCTATTGCTGACAAGCTTATTCAGCCATGTTCCGTTGGAAATAGAGCCCTAATTGTTTCTGAAACTGTTCTTGTCAAAAGTCAACTATGTTTACAACCTAAGGAAAGGTTATCAGAAAAATTATGTGTTGGTAAAAATAAATCTGGTACAGAGGCTCAGGAGAAGGAGGTTGGGCTTGTTTCAGGTGAAATTGCTATCATCCAGGGAAACCGTACACAGATTAATGCTGCTGATAAGTATAACCATGGCCAACACCTCGAATTTAGAGTACATGAAGGTTATCTATTGTTGGGAGATATTTCTGCAATGACAACTCATAACCTATTACTTCCTGGGGTTTATGAATCCTTCACAAGGTTTTTACAGAGGTTGACCCCAAAGACTTATCAGCAAATTCTAGCTATTAGGACTACAGGGGTGAAATCCTTGCCAATTGATGACATCAAAATTGTTAGAGAAGTTTCTGGTGATCCTAATAACAGGAAAATTATCCAAAGTAAGAAGCAGGAATTATGGAAATGGAGAGGTACTCCAATGGTGAAAGAAACTGAAGAAGTAAATTTTGCTAAGGGCTGCTGGATAGTGTCTGAATCGAGGGAAACATCACTTCGAATCTCTTCTACTGCTGGAAGTTTTGCTAATGGTGTAGGTGATACACCTCAGGAAAACAAGGAAATATGCGTAGCTGTTGAGGGTCTGAAGACTAAGGAAGAAAATGAAAATTCATCAAAGATACTATATGCTGCAGTAAAGTCTGTGCAGTGGAAGAATCAAGTATGGAGGCTCTTTTTTCAGAAATCAGTTAGATATTGGGAAGGTAGAAGCGCTAGGAAGAGGAAGAGGAAGCAGAAGATTGTGGCTGTGTCATATAACCCACCTTGAGGGCAAGGTGGATGTTTAGGGGGGGAGTATTGATAGGAACCCTCTTAAATTAGACTAATAATAGAAGTATTAATAAGAATATTAGTAATAAGGGTACTTGAGGTATTGTATAGTATAAATAGTCGGGAAGGGGAAATTAGGGAGGAGGCTGTTTTAGACGTTTCAGACTGGGACTTGGGTGAGCGAGAGCTAATTCTCGTTCTTGGGGGGCTTCGGCTCATTGGGAGGCTTCGGCCTTTGTTACCGATATTGTTTCATCTTCTTCATCAATACAGTTTTCTATTTTGTTTCTTGATCTTTCTGTATATTTTCTGGAGGTTCCTATCAGGTTATCACAATAAAGCCTCATCAAATTAGTAGAATACACTCCAAGCTCTTTGAGTAATCTTTTAACCCATATCATTTCACATGAGACATCTGACATGGCTCTATATTCTGACTCTGCACTTAATCGAGAGACAATGTGTTGTTTCTTGTTTTTCCAGGACACTAAATTTCCACCAACAAAGACAAAATATCCAGTAGTTGACCTTCTGGAAATAGGACAGCCAGCCCAATCTGCATCTGAAAAACCCAGTGTCCTGCCATCTCCTTCTTCTGTGAATGCACCTACTCGACAATGACCCTGATCGGAATAGAGTACTCCTAAGCCCGGTGTGGCTTTGAGATACCTCAAAACACGAAGAGCTGCATCCCAATGGCCTGTGTATGGATCAGACATGAACCGACATGAACCGGCTCAAGACACTTACTGGAAATGATATGTCAGGTCGGGTAACTGTTAGATAATTCAGTTTCCCGAGTAGTCTCCTGTAACGCTTTGGATCCTTCATAGGACTTCCATCCTTTTCAAGAAGTTTCCCTGTTGTAAGCATTGGGCTGTCCACTGGTTTGCATCCTAGTAAGCCACATTCAGTCAACATATCAAGGACATACTTCCGTTGAGATAAAAGAATTCCTCGTGGAGACTGAAATTCCCCTGCTATCGTTTCCAGTAATGATAATATCATCCACATAAACTACAAGAATGAGTCGTCGACCCATATACTGTCTAAAGAACACGGAATGATCCTGAGAGCTTCTGGTCAAGCCAAACTATTGAAGGACATCTAAAAAAACGTCCCAACCATGCTCTAGGAGATTGTTTGAGTCCGTATAGAGAACATCTCAGTCGACATACTTTAGATGCCTCCTCCTTAACTATAAATCCACGGGGCTGCTCCATATATACCTCCTCCTCAAGAAAGCCATGAAGAAAGGCATTCTTGATATCCAACTGATGAAGCGGCCAATGATTGATTGCAGCTAGAGCAATACAAATACGAACAGATGGCATCTTGGCTCTTGGCTACTGGGGAAAAAGTTTCGTCATAGTCAATCCCATATGTTTGAGAGTAACCCTTGGCGATTAATCGGGCTTTCAATCGATGCAATGAGCCGTCAGGATGAAGTTTAACTATATAAACCCATTTACAACCAACTGTGCGCTTTCCGGGAGGAAGCTGAACCAAATCCCAGGTCTGATTTTTCTGTAGGGCATCCATCTCTTCCTGCATTGCTTTAAACCATCCAGGATGATTCAAGGCCTGGGAACAAGGTGATTATCAATGGCTGTTTGGTAAGCATATGCTTCAGGTGAAAGATGAGAGTAGGCAAGGTAATTTTGAATAGGATATCTGGTACAACTCCTGGTACCTTTCGTAAGGCAATTGGAAGGTCAGGAAGAGGTGCTCCAGGTGGGTCACATGGTTCGGAAGGGAGAGGTTCGGATACAGATTACGGTTCTAGATTAGGATGAGGTTCTGAAACAGGAGAATTTCCGGTTTCATGGCACAGGGTTGAGTTCTCTTGGTTCTGTGTTGCTTTTCTTCGTTGTCTGGTGTACACTTTTGTGAATCCAGTATTTGTATCTAATGGTAAAGTGGGAGACGAGTTGTGTGATGTTTGTATAGGGGTGATATAGGAATATATATGATGACTCGGAAGAGTTAGTGGTGCTATCAAAGAATGAACGTGACTCATAGAAAGTAACATCAGCACTAGTAAAATATCGACGAAGGGTTGGACAATAACAACGATAACCTTTTTGGACTCGTGAGTACCCTAGAAATACACACTTGATTGCACGTGGATCAAGCTTGTTATGTCCTGGACGGTGATCATGGACATAACATACACAACCAAAGATCTTAGGAGGCAGAGGAAAGGGAGTGCCTTTGGGAAATAGAAGAGAAAACGGTATTTTTCCAGAAAGAACAGAGGATGGCATGCGGTTGATTAGATAATTTGCTGTGAGGACCGCGTCAGCCCAGAAACGTTGGGGCACATTATAATGAATCATTATAGTGCAAGCAACATCCAACAGATGACGGTTTTTACGTTCAGCAATGCCATTCTGTTGGGGGGTGTATGGACATGATGATTCATGTATAATACCATGCTCAGAGAAAAAACGTGTGAAATCAGATTAGAAATACTCTTTTGCATACTCTTTTGATGGTTTTACGTTCAGCAATGCCATTCTGTTTTTATACAACTATCGAATTGGGTTTTAACATATGCATAAAATTCACGGAATATGGAAGATATTTCATTTCTTGATTTAAACAAGTAAACCCAAGTTGCACGGGAATAATCGTCAACAAACGTAATAAAGTATTTAAAACCATTTATTGAAGTAACTGGACAAGGTTCCCATACATCTGAATGAATTAACTGAAATAAAGTACTGACACGTTTAGATTCTGTAGGGGGTAAGGACGGCGGGTGTGTTTCCCTAACTGACATGACTCACAAAAAAGCTCATGAAAAGGTGAAAAATCTGGCCTAAGTTGGTTGAGAACGGGTAAAGAAGGATGACCAAGCTGACAATGAGCTTCACGAACACTGGATTCACTTAAGTATGCCGAAGGAGACTGTGGAGCAGAGAAGCAATAGAGACCCTAAGACTCAAAACATGTGCCAATCAACCGGTTCGTCCCTAGTTCCTGGAAAACACAATGTGTAGGGAAGAAAGTTACTGAACAATTGTGCTTCTTGGTAAGCTGAGTAACAGATATAAGGCTATCTAGAAAGGTAGGAACATAAAGAACAGATGACAAGTTTAGGTTTGGTAAGTTATTGGTGGATCCTATGCCCATAATTTTACATAAAGAACCATTAGCAAGTTTGACAGGGTTGTGAGTTATACTTGTATCTAGGTTGAGTATGAGGTTTTTGTTCCATCTGTAGCACCAGAATCAATAATTCAAGATGATGAGCAAGCAGAAAGACAAGTTGAAGATATACCTGAGTGTGTTGTATTAGCACGCGGAGTGGATGCTACCTGTCCAGAAGCTTCGGGGTAAACATCTATGGTATCATCAATGGAAGCTATTTGAGCACGAGGAGGGTGCAGGGTGGATAAAATCCAGGCAGTCAGTTTGGACAATTATACTTGGTGTGTCCATATTCTTTGCAGTAATGACACTGGATCTTCTTATTGGGATCATTCTTCCGATTCACTACTTTCCCATTATTTCGGGCATTAAAAGATGTAAAAGCAGATGCATCTGTGCTAGTAGATGATGGTGTTACTGAACTGTCCGGATACATTTCTCGTGCAAGATGGTATGTCGAGGCTAGAGATTGAGAGGCAGAGTGACTCAGGAGCAAAGGACGAGAATTTGAGTACTTGGGAGATAGCCCTGAAATAAACGTCATCACATCCATTTTTGCTAACTGCTCCTCCTGAACTTTGACATCTGGAGTTACCGGGAAAAGAACACGCAGCTCCTCTGCTAATTTGGACAACCTTGTATAATATTCAGTAAGGTCTGAGTCACCCTGCTCACATCTGAAATAAGATCTAAACACAGAGTACGTGTTGGAAATAGATTCTTTTGCTGAGAAGGACTGCAAGTGTTCCCACATCTTCTTTGTGGTAGGATAATTTTGAGCAATACTCAAAACTTGAGGTTCCATAGTGTTCCACAAAGCCATTCTGATTCCACTATCATCAAGCTTCCACTCTCGGGTTTTAGGATCAGGAGGATCTTGGTTCAGATATGCATCTTTATCCAAGCTTTCAAGGCCGGTCTGAACAAACATGCTCCATTGTGCCCAATTAGTTGAGTTTAGCTTGACTGGTATTTTCAGAGCAGCAGAATAATTGATAATTCCAGGGACTATAGCATCATTTGGTTTTGCACCATCTCCCATTTTATAAAATAAGAGATGATTCTGGATAGAAGGAAGCTAGGGATCTGTTTTGACAGAGCTGGACTGTTAACGGTGAAAGCTGATCTAGGGTTTCAGGGGTGACAGGTGACGGCTATAAGATTAGGGAAGCATCCTGAGCATAGGCTCTGATACCATGTTAACAGAGAAGTATGGAAATGTTTTCTATGTTTCAAATAAACAAAGAATGTTGAATATATGCAGGAGTATAATAGCTAATCTAGGAAAGTGTATATTCTATACTTAATGACTAGAATCTACATTAATGATGCATATATACTGCTGTAACAGATCTCTAACAGAATCTACTTTGATTGACCATATATACTGCTGGAATATTTTTAACAATTACTACTTCTACCTACACCAAACTTGCACTCCATATACTCCGTCTTGTTTCGTCTCAATATGAAACCCTTAGTCTCCAAAGTTTGCCACCATATTTCCAACTTTGCTTTAAGACCGGATTGTGTCTTGTCAATCAATACAATATTGTTGGCAAACATCATGCACCATGATATATCTTCTTAATTTGACTTTGTAAGTTCATTCATGACTATAGCAAATAATAAAGGACTCAAAGCCAATCATTGGTGCACTCCGGTAGTAATAGGGAACTCTACCGTCCTCCCTACATTAGTACGGACACTTGTAGTACAAACCTCGTACATATCCAGAAAAGTATTTCTTAGTGTAACAAAAAAAGATTTGAAAAAGTTTAAATGAGTCACATGTTTTCTACACACGAAAAGTATGTAACGCATTTTCCATTTTCTTGAGGTAAAATAATTGCAACAGAACAATGGGGGATCATCGTGGTCATTTCTGATTAGTATGAGTGATCTGAATTATCAATCAGGACCAGCTCTCTAATACTTATTTTTTGGCTTGGGAATATGATGGAATAAAGCAAAACGGCTCACTAAACTGTCTCCGCTTCTTTGTTATGAAGCAACAGCTAGTCCATGCAATTTTTGACGTGATTTTCACCATGGGTCATCCGAAAACAGCCTCTTCGTGCTTTAGTACAGGGGTAAGATTGCGTACATCCGACCCTCCCTTACCCCCACCATAGGTGGGGGAGCCTTTGCGGCACCAGGGTAATGATGATGATGACGACGATGATGATGACCAGCTCTCTGGTACTTCTTTGAGTACCAGCATTACATAATAATATATTATTGTATTATTACAACATTATTCATAAATAGGTAGTATATAATTAAAAACAAAATAATCAAATTAGACCAAATAAAACCATACCAACATCACATAATAATATGTTATTGTATATTACAACAATTACTAATACACAACAACAATTATTATTAATGAATATATAATAATAAAATCCACATAATTAAATTACACCAAATCAAACCAAACTTAAACACCACACAAGACTTAAGCGGACTAGATCTAAATACACCAGACGAGCAAAATCCAATCCAAAAGTAGTCATTGATCGTTATTTCCTTTCAAGCGTTTGTGTTATTTGGTTTCTTGATTGCTTAATTACTTCCTTTCCAATTTGTTTGATTATTTTCTTTTCATGAGCTGTAACCTCTCCATAAAGAACCGGAGTCTCACTTCTCTTTGTGATCCACAAACATGAGCAAAGAATAAACCGAGGAAAAAGAAGTTGAATTATATTCTAGAAGCACACGGTTATTCTAAGAAGGTTATTCTTCTTATTAATCTGCTCCTTAGCAGCAGCCTTACAAAGGGAAATTGCAGCATCAGATGAGAACAAACTATTCCATAACTTGTCGGATAGAAATCTCTCTAGATCTGGAACCAATCAATGAGCAAATCAGGTATTAATTTCTGATTTATTCTTTACATATACCCATACGACTAAACCCCTAAGTTTTTACACTCCCCCCTCAAGTTGAGATGTTGATATTTCTTGTTCCCAGCTTGGGACTCAAGTCTTCAAATGTTGACTTCAGTTCCAACCTAGGAATGAGACCATCTTATATATTCCCAATCCTCTGATTTTCTATCTCGTACAGGGCACAGCGCTCCCTCCACCTCCAAAACGTTCAATAACAGTATCTGAACAGACCTAAACTGAAGTACCCACCCCTCATCCCGCTGCAATCCATTTATTTTTAAATCATTAGGAGATCCAATGCTTTGCAGGCCCCTACCTTACGATAATTCCATTAGTTCTGTGAATCAATGTTTGAAATTGCGCAATAGAATCACCCCTTGAGGCGTGCCTCAATGATTTCCAGGCCTGTTGCGATTCAAGGTGAAACCTATTTTACGCCACAAGAAAGCTTACACCTTTTAGGCTGAGGCGTACGATATAAGGCGTGCGATATGTATCGCAAGAAGGCTTACGCAATACTAACTTTGCGGATTGCATGGAAAACATGGGCCCGGACTTATTTCAAACTCAATAATTAATTTAATACTCATCAAAATAATTATCTCTTCTTCTGATTAGCATGCGGCAGTCCAGCTCTCCCTCTCTTCAGAGTATTTTTTTTTACACCAGCTCTTTTGTAAGCTTGGTGCATCGTTGTTGGCGCTTTTTCATCAGTCATAGCTCTGAGTTGTTCTTATTTACGTCCGCCTGTCCCTTGGTTTACGTCGGCAAGCTTAAGTAGGGAGGCGAGATTCTATAAAAGGTACTCTGTATAGGCGTATATTAGTTTGAATGGGTTCCAAAGTATCCTTCTACACTTCTGATACATCACGAGTATTAAATGAAACATTATCTTTTGGTGTCTCTTGAGAGGATTATTAGATTATACTCCATTGAAGTACTCTGTATATATTATTTTGAGTAGGTTCCAGCTATATTCTATTTTTTAATTATTTATATTCAAAACTTTCCTTTATTCTTAGTGGAGTTTTACTTTTCATATAATTTGAATTTTTATTTCAAGTATAATGGTGTATATACTTTAATTTGGATTATATTAATATATCAAATAATTTTTAAATATTACCATTAGCAATTCTCTTTAGCATTCATCCATCAAATAACTTAGAATTTTACATTTTTACGATAAACAATTTCTATGCAAACCTCTTTTGGATGGATGCTTATTGCAAAACACTTTTAGGAGAAGCAACAAGCTATGGGACCAAGAGATCAAGCAAACCAAGACTCCAATTGTATATAAAGGAGCGAACATATCTGAATAAAGGCTCATGAATTTGCTACACTTGCTTCATGTAAAAATTTAAAGTCTTGCTACATTGAGTCAACCTGAACAAGTCACCAGCATGCTTACATATAACCGAACTAGTTCAAATTCGTCTTACAAGATGGATTGATACATCAATTATTAATTTATTATCATGATTGTGATATGAGCCTTTGGTTATACTTTAGCATTAGTATTAATTTCCTATTATTATTATAAGTAGCACTTTTCTATCACCGTTAGCATTGAACAATGAACATTGATATCTATTTAGTCAAAATTCATTTGTATTAGTATTATAAGTAACACTTTTCTATTACAGTTAGCATTGAACGATGAACATTGGTATCGATTTTAGTCAAATTTCACTTTTATGACTAATACTATAATACATTAGACCTTCATTTACTTGCTCACCAAGAGTTTTTACTAGTATAAATAGGGGTTAAACATCATTGATATTATCATAGAATTCCAAGCTTAATCACAAGGCTTTGAGATCAAGTCTCTAGGGTTTTGGTCAAAGATGATACTCTTCCCCGTAGGCTCTGTTGAAGGACAAGTCTGCCTATCCCAACCACGAACTTAACCGTCCGCTCTTAATGTCCAACTTTCTAAGTTAGAACTTATGTATGAAATTGTTTATGCATTCTCCTGAATGCAGATGACATGTTCTATTTGAGAAAGCAATTGAGGCTTAGTTGATCAGATCGGCATTAAGCCATTAATATCCCTTTGAACGGCATGTTTCGGAAGGGTTATCATGTCAAGAACATTACAAGTCTATAAAAGATCAGAACTTAAGATTACAAAACATGTATATAACAATACTAAAAACATTTAGCTCTAGACAAGTTAAAGAATAGACCAATTTGACGCACCTTTTGGAGGATTTCCTTCTGCACCCCATATTTGGCAACTTCCATCATACATTTTCCAAATAATCTCTTAACCAGCTATCATATCAAGGGAAATACCAGAGGGTCACAAAAGGAGTGGAAAAGAGGAGGAAATTACACAACATTCACATGTCAACTTTTTTTACCAAGTTGTAGATTCTCCCCAACGTTAGCATCCCGCCACCCTAGGGCATTTCAATAGCGAGTTAAATGAAACCATCTGCAGAAGTGAGAAAATCAATCAATAAATGAAAAAGAAACAATACCTTTAGTATCATTGTTCCAAGTTGTCCCTGACCTCCTTTTAGAGCAGCTTCAGCCTGAAACATCCCTTGACTGAGCCCAAATTCTAGACTCGCATTCTCATTGGCAGTTTTTACCAGTTTAGTTGAACTGTGGATGATTTCACATAACTCAAAATCACCACAAATGTTATACAAAACATGAAAGTAACAAAAAATCATAGAAGACCCAGAAAACAAGAAGTGTATTCTGTAGTGTACACAAATCAAATAATGGAAATGGAAAGACCACAAAACATTAGGAAGATGCTATGCATCCATTAGAGTTACATAAATGCCTGTATTCCCTTCTTTTAATCAAAACAGAAACTGAAATCCTAAACAGGTTAGAAATGGTTGTGTAGACATTGTAGAAACAAGACTTCATAATATAATACGTAGTAGATCAAAAATAAATATTATACGGAGTACTATTTACAAATAATAAATATTATAGAAGAATAAAAGGCCTTGAAGGAGTTGAAGGAAAATGTACATTTAAGAGAAAGAAAGTAATCAATATAAGATATAAGCAAGCAACAACAAAGCTTTTTTGTTAAAGTTTAGAGAGACAGTTCTAGGATTGCCTCGAGTATTCGTGCAATAGATGAAGAAAAATCTCTGCTTCCAAGTCTTCAACAGATATTTTGGCTGAACAGCGTACATTTAACTTTTTCCTGACATTAAGCAATGCATCCCTGTATGATGGCCTACGGCCCCTAATATAAAAATGCCAATTGCATCAAACAGAGTTCTGAATTTAAATAAAAATGCACTATTCTAGTAGTGAAAATTGTTTTTGACCCCTCAACTATACTCAAATGATTGCTTTCATCCCTATCTCCTTTGTATTGCAAAAAAAAAACATTCCAGAAAAAGATACAAAAATGGTCCCGTGATGAACAAAACTATTCAATAGTTAATACTGCTAATACTTTGAAGTGTAAGTGTACATTTATTAATTATATTTTCTTCTTTTCTACTTCTACCTTCAACCATCCAAATTTCATAGTGTCAAAAGGTGTGTGATCCATCATCCATCAAACCCGTTCTTGTACTGTATCCAAAACTGTGATATGCAGATTCCTTGCATCGACTATGTGAATACAGTCCCTCAAACGATTTCTAATTTTCAAAGTATTCTGTTTCGAAGTGCAAGAATAAGTACTGTTTCACTTTTAGTATTAATTCGGGTACATACTTGTAAGTTGTAACATGCTGGTGTCTCCAATTAGTATTGTTTGAGTTTTAGTATAGTAACCTGTTGCGTATAAGAAACTATACTTGTAACATGTTAGTATAAAAAGATACAAATCATAATTGAGAAGGGACACATAATTGGTTACTGGTTTTACGCTTTTATTTTTTATATTCTTATCCGTAGTCAAATGGTTCGCAGAACGATTCGGTACGGGAACAAGGAACGGAATCGCGGTTCGCTAGATCTAGCGTATCCGGTTCGGAGGGAGGGAGGTTCATTCCGGTACGCTGTATCTTATACTCGTATTTTGGTACTAAAATAAAACTGAATTTCAGATTTCTCAAGTCCCAAGTCATAATATTAGAGCCCGTTTGGTAGCATCAAAATCGGCTGTTTTGGCTGATTCTGCTGAAATTTATGATATTCTGGCTGGAGTGGCTGTTTTGGCTGATTCTGCTGATTTAAGAAAAAAATATTTTAAAAATATATTTTATTAATAAATTAAAGAAAAAATTATATGTAAAAATAGCTAAAATGGTCCTCTAGAGTAACTTCAGCCAATACAGCCAGAAAAGTAACTCCAACCTTACTTTTTCGGCTTATTACACAATTCAACGTGCGAAAGTAAAAGTTACGTGTTTGGTGAAAAAGCTGGCTGATAAGCCTGATAAGCCGAAAACAGAGTTCTCCAAACGGGCTCTTAATCTAAAACAACTTTAAAAAAATCATTAATCTAAAACAGATATCATAATCTAAGTCATAACATTAAAAAAAATAGATAAAATTAAAAACATTAATATTCCAGAAAAAAATGAGCGTGCCTACTCATGTTAACCGCACAGGAAACGACGAGAATGAAGAGTTTGTACTTTAATTTGATTACCTGGAGCGGAAATCGAAGAGGCTAATTCATTTTAAAGTTTCAAACGAACGTGCCTATTTATGTTAACCGCGCAGGAAACGACGACACTGTTCGCAATTGGTAGGGCTACTATCGTTACTGTTTGGATTCGCGATTTAGCACGACCTGTATGTCGTCGTGGAAGACTCCAGTTACGTTTGGGAACGACGTGGCAAGCGATTGTGAACGATTTGGGAAGCGATCGCGAACGAATGCAACAGCATTTTACAGAGCGATCCGAGCAGCGTTTGGAACGCTTTCGTGCCGCGTTTGGGTACGCGACATTCGGAACGCAGTTCGTGGGTGTTTGAGCGATTTATGTATCTATGTTCTTATCTATTAGGCTGTTATCTTTCGGTTGAGAAATAAGTGGATGTTCCCAATACTACATAGGAGTTGATTGGTAGTGCTCAACTATTTCCCTATTTTTCCTCCCTGTAATCTCTTTAAATAGGCTCTTTGCCTCATGAATAAAGGATTGACATTTCAAATACAATATTATTCTCTGGAGATTCTCCTTTGGTCTTTCCGTAAGTGAGTGTGAGATTATTGCCTTACTTACAGATAGAAGATTTGTCACTCTTAATTTTCCTTTTTCTTTACATAATTTCTGAGTTGTATCAGATCTCATGAAGAACAATAGAAAAGCAAACCTCAATGTAGACTGAGCATCGGCGGCAAGGTATAGAAATCTAGACTCAAGCATAGAAATAAATTCTTCCCTCTCATTGAAGTCATCTTCGAGCATAGCAAAACCATTGTACTCTCTATTTGTTATTGACTTCAACAAGGGACTCCAATAACTGAAGAAACACAAAAGATAAACAGTTCAAATGGCTCTCTAACAACTAAAACTTACAAAAGAACGAGTCTTTAAAATTAGATATAATTCATATATATAATAAAATTTAGTAATGCAAAGAACACTAATGTTGATCTATGTACCATGTCATCCTGATGTGGTGATGTCTACATATAGACCTAAATCCAGATGCATACTTTTAGTTAAATCACTTATTGATGCAAGTCATGCAACTAAAACAAGAACCCAGTTAACTTTAAGAAAATCAATAATCTATAAGCACAAAAGTTATGATTTATTCCTTCGAAAGATGGTTGTGCGTCAGGGAGGGTATACAGGGTAAACCTTAGTGCAACTGATTGGCATTACAAAATTCACTAGATTAAGCTAGAAAGGTATGCTACACTAGTACAACTGTTTCGGCTGCCTATAGTTTTTATTTAAATCTATGTAAAGGTGGTCATAAACCACACATGAAAGATGAAGTTGAAAAGGGAATTTTTTTTACTTGCACAGACTAAAGAGGTTGGGGTCTTGGAGAGTGTTCATCATTCATCACAAGCCATGCAACGATAAGCATACACCTAGAGAAAAGAAGAGAAGTTCAAAAAGAACCTTGGTCCAAACAGAATTCTTTCAAGTTCATATAACTCAGAATCTGTGGCGAGTTCAAGCACAGCTCGAAGTTTTGGATCAAATGAATCCCCAGTGTTAATGGTGTAACCCGCTGCAAAGCACCGAAACAGTTTCTTTAGACTCTAAGTCTATAACTTGCAGTAGTCCGAAAATAAAATAGGGGAAATAATTTATATGCATAACATACACCTGGGTGATTGCCTTTAAGTGCATAAACTGGCTGTACAACGCTAAGATTTTGGTGCTTTAGCTGCACAAGCAGGAAAAGACAGTTCACATTAAAGACTAAGTTCGGTTGCAACGAAGTCAGATTATCAGTTTATGAACCCCTCTTGGTTGTGATCAGCGATCCTCCATTTTCTCCCCGGCTCTATGAGATTACGTAGTACTGCTTTATTAATTTGTTTTCACACTGAGGTTTTATGTGTGTAATGTTTAATTCTAAGATAGGTGCGGTTATATCAAATTCACATATCGCATCATATATGTAGATATGCATTTCGAGGAAGGAAAAGCCGCACTTAAATTCAGAGACACGGACACAGAGAGTGAGAGTTGCTTACTGGGAAATAGTGAGGTTGAGTCTGAAGGGACACGAAGTGGAGTCGCCGGTGGGAACAGAATGCTGATGATATTTGGAACTGCCGAAGGTAGTGGAGTGCTGGCGCCCTCGTGGCGGTGTTCATGGTGGCGGCTGCCGTATAGTGGAGGAGCAATGAGTAACAATAGAGGCGGCGGCGGCTTTCACACAATCACATCACTTGGCAAGAATTTAAGGGCGTGTTTGGGTGGAGTGTTTGGAAGTGTTAGTAATGAAAGTGTTAGTAAGAAGGGTTGTTAGGCGCACCCCTAAATTGCTTTACGTAACTTTGCTTAGACGTTTTTGCCCACTTTATTTTTGTACTCCGTAATATGGAGTAAGATTTTTATTTGGGTCGAATAATAATATAATTAGTCTTCTAAAATTACGTACAAACCTCATATATTATGTTGAACTTCGTAACTTTGTTTTGATGTATGACTCAAATTTGATCCAATTTAAATTGAAGTATAAATAACATTTTTATAAAATGGGTCGAACAACAATTACTTTTTATAAAATGGTATACTATTTTCATTTGTTCTCCAACTTTGACAAAAATGTATTGAATCGAATTATTTTTCATTATTTTTTCATATGACGCCTATATTCTATTATCATTTGAATATTTTTTATCAATTATATATACACATTTAATATTATCTCTATTTTTTTTTTGTCTTTTCATTATATCTTACCTTTTTATCCTTCTTAATTTTGTTTTTCTTTTGTCTCTGAAATCGTGTATTGATTTATGTTAGCTGGCCCTAAAAAAAATTGGGAACTAAAGCTTGGAAGTTGTTATTGTATTTTTATTAGATGTTTATTAATAGGGTTTTCCTTAATAAAAATGTTACTTAAGTCACTACCTATACAGTCACTACAATGGAAATCTCAACACCGTCATTATCATTAAAGTTACAATTTTAGTCACTAAAGTACCCCTCCGTTCTTTAATCATTGTCCAGATAATTTTTCACAGTTTTTAAGAAGAAAATAGCGGGGGTAATATAGAGGGTGTAGGGTAAATGAAAAGAGTAAGAAAAAGAGTATATTAAGAGTTTATAAAAAAAATAAGGGTAATAAAAGTGAGGGTATAAAAATATTTTGATAGGACAAACTTAGAAAAAGGGAGAAAGAAAGATAAGTAATAAAAACATCAAAAAAAAGAATACGAGACATTTATTAGAGAGCGGAGGCAGTATCAAATTAAAAGTCACGTTATTTTCCATTACCTATATTTTACTGTTCTTTAAGTTTAGTCTGGTATGATTTGGTTAAATGTAACTGGATTGAAATCAATCCAATTAAAAACATCCTAAATATCGTTCACATATTCAATCATCGATATAAAATAGATGGTCTTAATGCGGAATCAGCATGGTGTTGATCGAGTTTTAAAAGACCGAGCATCCACCTTTGGAAAAAAATCCATTACAGTATACAAGTTTAAACATGATCATAAAGTTATTAATTTATAAGAAGACACAAAATTCATATTATACTATGAATTTGATAGAAATCCATTTATTGGGAGATGAATTTATAATCATACTATAAAAAAGAATGTTTTTAATTTCATTGAAATTTCGGAATTTCCTGGTCTGATTTTTAATCCTTGAGTATATTTTAAAGATAGTTTTTTTTTATAAATAAAGTTCAACAAAACCTAAGGAAATATAAAGACCTGGTCTTTTTTAATTTAAAAAGCAATATGAGGAATAAAAATACCACGTATAAAAATAAAATAAAATAAAAAGCAATACAAGTTTTTTGGTGCACTACATACTACGAATACTTTGGTGAGCTGCGTTGCTTAGTTGCTTACTACGAGTAAGTGAGATCATATATAAAAGAGGACAAATGTGTCCAACAATGGAGAAAAAGGGGTGCGCTTAGCACCTCTAGAGGTGCGCGGAGCAGGTCCGTTAGTAAGTGTTAGTAAGGGCTTGGAAGGGAAGGGAAGTGTAAGTGTTAGACATAATTTTACCTTGTTTGGGAGAGTCAAATGAATGAGTGTTAATAATGGAAGTGTTAAAGAAAGAGTAAAGAAAGAGTAAAGAGAAGAGATGAAAAAACAAACCATCAGACCCGTGGGAAACACATTCGAAGTGAAATGTCGAAGCATTTTATGTTTTTCGGGCAAATGAGAAGGGTAATAATTGTCCAACACCTCAAAACACTCCAAATCGGGGTGTTAAAAAAATGGACAATTGAGGTGTTGGGAAGGTTATTATTAACACTTCCTAACCATTACTAACACTTCTTAACACCTCTGGTTTTTTCTCCCAAACAAGTGTTAGCATCAACACTTACTAACACTTCCATTACTAACACTCTTCAACACTCAATCCAAACAGGCCGTAAAATTTTGCAATTGTAATGACAAGTGTAATGTGTTGGAGGGAGGGGTCATGTTCTCCCTTCACGAAGGAGGTGAACAAAATAGAACTCCCCTCGGACTATCGCCCGGGCCGGGTGGGCGAAACAGAAAATCAAATACCCGACCCAAACGAATCTCGTATCGGACATTGCGGTTTTTGGAGGACAAAATAAACACAGATTCTAACTTAATGTCTAATTTTAAACCACCCCACTAACATCCCCGTTCGAGGTTAGTTTGTCCGTTAACTCTCCCATATCCCTGTGATTAAACAACATAACCCCATTTGCAACCCTAAATGCGACTTTCATGGACTATAAACGCGAGTCTCCTGAGAAGATTAGAAGCTGAAGTTTTGCGTTTACTGATGGTCTCCTTTCAAACGCTCTAAGGTACTCCATTCGTGTAACTTTTACTGTAAAAATGAGTGGTTGGTCAATCTGAGGTTTAACCATAGCGGAAGGTGGTTGTTGAAGCCTTTACGGTACGTTAATGGAGACGTGGATACTATATATGGATTTGACCCAGATTATTTGTGTTATCATGACAGACGTCGAAAATACAAGGATAATTTGGGTTTTAAAACTCTAAAAAATATTTATGTGTTAGAACCTATAAAAGATATGGAAAATAGATTGTTCTTAGTTCAAGATGATGAAACAATAAGGAAGGTGCTAAATTGTATTAGAATATTATCTTGGATTGATGATATTGAACTATATGCTGATCATCAATTGGACGAACCTATTCTAATTCCCCTAATAGAAGGGTGTAATGTGCCAGACCCATAGTTTGCTGAAATCGGGAATGGGTTGGGTTCTGATTCTGCTACTGATTATGTGAGAGATGAAAATGCTGAAGTAAACACTGGTGGTGTCCCTGATGGATATCAAACAGATGAAGAATCAAATGAACTGCAAGAGGAGGAGGAGGAGGAGAGCGACAAATTTGATGACTCCGCAGATGATGAACTGAGATAGAACTTCTCTGTGAATGATGGCTCAGGTTCTTTCATGAGTGGAATGACGTTTAAAGATGTTAAAGAGGCTCGCACAGCAATCGCTAATTATGGAGTGAAATATGGGTACAAGCTGAAAATCAAACCGAATGAGAAGAACCAGTTGGCAGTTGGGTGTCTTAATGAGGAAGGTTGTCCGTTTAGGTTGTGGATATCTAATGATGGGAAGAATTGTGGTCTGGCAGTGAAGGTATGCAATCCAGAACACAAATGTTTTAGGCATTATTCCATTCCAAGTGCTAGCCAGAAGTGGTTAGCAAATTATTTCAAATGTCACCTGCAAAAAAATCATAGCTTCACAGTTAGAGCTATGAAAGAGGAGGCTGAAAAGAAGTTGAAGATCAATGTCAGCTTGTACAAATGCAAAAGAGCCAAAAGGTTGATTATCCAAGAGATGGATGGGAGCTATAAGGCTGAGTTTGGGTATCTTGAAGAGTATGCGGCCACCTTAAAGAGAAGTAATTCTGGTTCCAAAGTTGAAATGGAATTATGTAGTGCTGCATTGAAAGAAGGAAACATGGTGTTTAATAGGATGTTCATCTGTTTTGATGCTTTGAGGTTGTTGGGTTAATGGCCCAAATTGAGGTTCGGCCCACTTACCCCTTAACCCAGACGTACGTCCAGATAAATCATTAGGCTAACCTGGCAGGCCCACTTACTCAGTATGGACGAACGTCTGAAGAAGAGCCTCAGGTTCAACGGCCCATTCGAGGAACGTCTATGCTATTGACAAGGAGCAGGCCCACAGGCAATCAGAATGATGACGATCGTCGTCAGAAGCAAGCCCATAGCCGTTGGGGGCAACCCCTCCTACATGGCGAAAATCACCAAGGGCCAGAGGACGAACGAACGTCCCCACCAATTAGGCGGGAAACCTATATTCTGGCGGGAAGTGCATTTAATGCTGAAGATTTGGTGGTTGGGACACCAGCCAACCGCAGTCTTCCACGTCAGCGTAGCCAACTGCCCATTGGTGGGTATAAATAGAAGCATTTATTTCATTGTAAAAGGTTAGCAACTTTCTATTCTTAGCACTCTAGCTATAGCATTCTTACTCGCAGCACTTCAACTGCCTTGTAAGACGAACGGCCGACGAGCCTTAGCGAAAGTATTGTATTAGGGAGTTATTAACAGATAATAATACCTAATCATTTACTTGCTACTTATTGTTTTCCTTGATCCATCTCACTTGTTAGTTGGGCTAGTTTATTCACACACCTAATCCACTCGAAACTCTTGAGCTTACGTGTTGGACCCGAGGGTTGAAGGAATAAACCTCAGCACTGGCGCCGTCTGTGGGAAACTGAACTAAAAGTTTCCAAAACTCTCCCAAACAGCTACCAAATCTACCCACAGCAAGCATGATGGCAAGAAACAACCAACCACATGATCTCTCGGAGCGATTGTCTCGCGGACGGAGGAGCCGCGGGCAAACCACTGAGCGTTCAGCAACGCTGGGAACTGCCAGGGACGATGGTGGCCTCACCAACCTCATCCCACATGAGGCCAGGCGCGATCCTCGGCTCATGAGGGAGCTGGCGGAAACCATGCGCCGAATGGCGGACGAGCAGGAGGCCGACGAGGAGGTGTACTCAGCCAACACTATCTGGACGCCCATATCACCAATCCACCACATGCAGTCCCTGGATGAGACAGCGGATTCCGCAGAACGCCGGGCATCCGTCCACACGAGGTTGGGCCGGAGCCCACCAGCGCGGAGCTCCCATGGAACCAGGGGGCTCACCAGTGCCAACACCCCACATTATGGTTGGCAGGACGATCATCGGGGGCGCACGCCGGACGTTCCCACGGAGCATTAGGACGCGGC